TGGTTATGTCGCCAAGTTCCCATTTTGTTACGCCATATTTGCATTTGAAAAAAGTACACCCAATCCTGGGAACAGAAGGAAACGTTCCAAAGCGGTATGTGGATTGTTACTATCAGCATAAAGACGAAGCATATTTAGGCCAAGTCCTCAAACGTTTATCTGTCAGACTACATTGCGCTCTGGAGCACTAGCAGGTCACTTGCGAGAAAAGCGTGTTTTCCTGACTCGACAAATTTGGTGGACAAAGACAAAGGTAGCCTGAAGTGTGAAGAGGCATTAACAGAGTGAAGTGGCCTTTATCCTCACACTTACGTGAACAAGCTCAGAACCACATACAGTGCCTTGCAATTCATTTTTTTAACGTTTTATGTTGCTGCCTTATGATAAACTTCTTTCAATTACTTTTTTTCCACATCAATCTACACTCCATACACCATACTGACAAAGCAAAAACAGAATGGTCAACTTCGTAAATGTATTAAAAATAAAAAACTGAAATAAGTACATTGCATAAGTATTCATACCTAATTCATAATAATTAATTACCTATTCATAACTAAATATTTAGCTGAAACACCTTTACAGTCTCAAGTCTTTTTTTTTTGTTTGATGCGACAAGTTTTGCTCATCAACATTTTGCAATTATCTGCCATTCTTCACCTCACCTGTTCACCTCTCAAGCTCTGTCAGGTTGGATGAGGGCAGATGCACATTTTCAGGTTTCTCCAGAAATATTTGATTGGGTTCAATCCCAGGCTGTGGCTGGGCCACTCAAGGACATTCACACAGTTGTCTATAAGCCACTCTTGCTGTGTGCTTAGGGTCATTGTCCTGTTGGAAGGTGAACCTTCTGCCCAGTCTGAGGTTCTGAATGCTCTGGACTGGGTTTTCATTAGGCTATCTCTATATTTTGCTGCACTGAGCGTTTCTTCTACTCTAACGAGTTTGAGTTTGGCCACACCGCCATAAAGACTGGATTGGTGGAGTGTTGCAGCGATGTTTGTCCTTCTGTAGATTTCTCCTGTAGATTTCTCCTATCTCCACATATGATGATGGAGCTCAACTAGAGTGAGCATCAGGTTCTTGGTCACCATGCTAACCAAAGCCCTTCTCCATCAATTGCTCAGTTTGGCCAGGAGTTCTTTTGACCTCAGGGCTTGGTTTTTGCTCTGATATGCATTATCAGCTGTTAGACCTTTTATTAAGAGGTGTGTGCCTTTCCAAATCATACCAATTCAAAAGAATTTTCCACAGGTTAACTTCACTTGAAGTGTAGTAATATCTACAAGCAAAATGAATGCTCCTGAGCTAAATTTCAACTGTCCCAGATAAGGGTATGAATACTTATGAGATGGAATCATTTTAGTTTTTTATTTTTAATACATTTGCAAAGATGTTAAAACCCTGTTTTTTTGCTTGACAATTATGGGGTATGGAGTGTAGATTGTTGTGGAAAAAAAATAATTTAAAGCAGTTTAACAAGGCAGCAACAAAACAAAATGTGAAAAAAATGAAGGGGTATGGATACATTCGCAAGGCACTGTAGGTCAGATGACAAACGCCCCATCGTCCGTCATCAGAAGATTTCAGGGCAGAGACATTTCTTTCCCAAAATCAGCCCTGAAGACATAGTCATGGTACAACTAACATCATAGGAATAAAGTTAAGCTTAAACCAGGGGTGCCCAATCCAGCTCCTGGAGGGCCCTTTTATTGCAGACTTTAGCTCCGAGAAGCCTGCCTGGTAGTTATCCCGAAGACTGAGGCTGTGTCAAAATATTGCCACGGTAGGCTACTTGTTTTGAATAAGCAATTACTTTGCAACTGTTTGTTCTTGTCCTTGAAAAACTATGTTGCGTATAGTATGAATGTATGTAGTACAAATGTAATTTGGATGTACTACATTTGTCACGTTGCCGTTGTCATTTGACCGGTCCCACTTTATATTAAGTGTCCCCAATACCTGTGTACTTGCATAGTAACTAGATGTGTATGTAGTATGTAACCACAGTGTAATTACACATTGGTACATAGTATCTACAGCTCTAATGATTGTATGTAACAACCCACTAAATGGTATGTGTAAATACAAATGTGTAACAGGACATTGGTAACACCACTTTTTGGTGATGAAAGTACAAATGTATAACAGGACTAACAGCACTTTTTGGTAAAGAAAGCGTTACACTTTATATTAGATTTATCATGTAATTACTCTGATGTTAGCGGCTAGTAAGTTAGGCTTTACATATAAATTGTGGTTGGTGTCCAGAATGTGATACTATGTACCAATGTGTACTTACACTGTGGTTACATACTACGTACACATCTAGTTACTATGCAAGTACACTGGTATTAGGGACACTTAATATAAAGTGGGACCTCACATGCTGTTTGGCTTCCTATATAGTAGGGAAGTATTGGAGTTTGGGAGCAGCCCTCGATTAGCTGGTCTTGGTGTGTTTAATTCGGTGTGGATTGTCATACAATTGCAATATGTATCCACAGCTACTGTGGATGGCAATCAGTTTTCATTGAACGACTCCAAATGTGCTGTGTTGTTAACGCAAAACAATTGGTTTCAGAAGACTTAGTGCAAAAGTTGTACAGACCACTTTGTGTTTTTCTTTTTCCCTTTTTTGTCTTTGAGCAGAAATCTGTGACAAATATAACGACCCATTCCAAATCAGATACAGATAAAAGTAGCACAGTAAAGATTACATTAATATGAATGCATTAGTGAGAGCGATTGCGTGTGTGAATTAATTCTACCTGGCAGCGTCTCTCTACTAGTAGTGAAGCTGTGGAATTTAGTTAAATGCTTGAACTTTTCAGTTTCTAAGCTATTTTATTAAGAAATCACAGAACAGTGTTGACAATACATTTCCGCGCTGAATGATTCTATGCGCGTGATGTACGCGCTACTGTCTGTAGCCTATGTGTGTGCGTTACAGTGCAGCAGCGCATTAGATTAGAACGGCGATTAACTTTC